ACCAGGGGGCGGGGCTGGCTGGCATGTGGTGCTGGGGGATTGAACCGCAGTCCCTGTGCTTTGCTAAGCTTGTTCTAAGTAGGTGCTTTAGACCAATGAGCCATCTCACCAGCCCTTTTTTTTTTTAAAGACAGGGTTTTACTGTGTAGTTCAGGTTGGCCTTGAACTCACAGCAATCCTCTTGCCTCAGCCTCCCAAGTGCTGGGACTACAGGTGTGCGCCACCACACCTGGCTTCCACTTTTTTAAAGTACATGAGAAACACAAGATGTCCCTTTTTTTTTTTTTTTTTTGACGGAACCGGGGATTGAACTCAGACCCTTGTGCTTGCCAAGGAAGCACTTATTCCACTGAGCCACCTCCCCAGCCCCCCAAGATGTCCTTTTACATCTTATGTTTTTCACAGGCAGTGTGATTGTCAGTGACATCTGCTCAAATGACATGTCTGCTTTAGGAAGTAGATTTATGTAGATTAAACATTATGTGACACATTAAGCAGAGAAATGAAGTTATTTGGAGCTAGAAATTACTAAAATTAAAACTGTACTGAAATTACCAACAACCTAATAAGGGTACTGGTGCATAGCAGTCTTTGCATGTTTGTTACAAACAGACATGGCTGGGGCCAGGGAGATGGCTCAGTAGGCTAAGCGCTTGACTGGCAAACGCAAGGATCTGAGTTCAATCCCTGGTTCTGCAAAACAAAAACAAAAACAAAAACAAAAACCAACCAAACAGACATGGCTTATTTACTAACCCTCATTATACACTTCTGACGAGGGATGGAAGGTGCCATCAGTACTTCACAGGAAGTAAAATTGACATCAGGGGTGGTAGTATACAACTATAATCCTAACTCAGAGGAGACTGAGGCAGAAGGACTGCAAGTATAAGGTCAGCCTGGTCTACACGGTACAACAGTGTCTCAAAACAGAGATCAGTACATTAACACTCAGTGGTATACTCAACAGTGTATCAGGCTGAGGGGTTCTGTCTCTAGGTACCTACTGGATTTCTAACACTCCTTCAAACACTGTGCCAAAAGGACATGCGATAACCATGGAAGGGACATCAATTTTTTTAATTCATCCTACTTCCAGTGGACTCTCTCTCTACACAGTATTAAAAAGCAAGCAAGCAGGGCTGGCCAGATAGCTCAGGGGGACTAAAGCACCTATTTAGGCAGAGCCCAGTGGCTGGGGTTCGATCCCCAGCATACTCTGCCAACCCAGACCCAGGGGCAGGCTGAGATAGCCACTGAAACTGGTTATGGTGGCACTCCTGTAATCCCAGTGCTTGGGAAGCTGAAAAAAGGAGAATCACTACTAGTCCAATTATGTAGTAAAACCCTGTAGACCTGTACCAAATACATTAAAAAAAAAAAAAAAAAAAAAAAAAAAAGAAAATTCTGGAGAGACACCTGGGGAAAAGAAACCCTTCTCCTCTATTGGTGGGAATGGGAATTAGTAAAACCATTATGGAAATCAGTATGGAAATTCCTCAAAAAAGTGCATTCCATCTGACCCATCTATTCCCTTTCTTGGTATCCTCCTAAAAGTGTGAAAGGGGGCCGTCCCAATAGCTCAGTGGACTAAAGCGCCTGCTTAGGCAGACGCAGTGGCCGGGGTTCCATCCCCGACCTGTGCTGCGCACTGCCGGCCCCACCCCTGGGGTGCGCTAAGACAGTGATTGAGACCGGGCATCGTGGCAGACCTGTAATCCCAGCACTTGTGAGGCTGAAAACAGTCCAATCTACATAGTGGGACCCTGTAGATCCTGTACTAAATACAAAGAAACAAAGGTGAAAGGCACCATATTACAGTGACGTATGCATACTGTCTGTCTTTTTATTTTTTATTTTTGTTGTTGCCGGGACAAATATCTGACACTCAAAATGAAGGAAGGAAAGGTTTATTTAGCTCGCAGTTACTGGAAGTTTTAGTTCATACTCAGCTGGTTCCAAGGCAGAGCGGCACATGGCAGAGAGCAACCTTTCAGGGTGCCGCGAAGAGCAAGGGAGAGAGAAGAGAGAAGGGAGCGGGAGCAGCTCCGGCAGGCAGCTAGCCAGCCTCTCCTCCCTCCTTACACTGTAATGCAGATTACCTGCCCCAGGGCAGGTGCAGCACCCACACCCACAGTAATCAGTCACAAAGTCCAGAAGCTGCCCCATGATTGTGT